GGTATTTTGATGGGGATTGCATCAAATCTGTAGATCACCTTGGGTAGTAGGGGCATTTTTGCAATATTAATTCTTCTTATGCATGAACATGGAATGTCTTTCCACTTTTTTCTGTCTTCTTTAATCAGTGTTTTGTAGTATTTATTGTAGTATTATTGTATTTTTTGTAGTATTTATTTAACCCCTTTGGTTAAAGTTATTCCTAGGTTTTTTGTTTTTGTTTTTGTTTTTGTTTTTGTTTTTTTGGTAGCTATTGTAAATGGGCTTGCTTTCTTGATTTCTTTCTCTGTGAGCTAGTTTTTGGTGTGTAAAAATGCTACTGATTTTTGTATATTGATTTTGTATCCTGCAACAAAACTGAATTTGTTTATTAGTTCTAAGAGTTTTTTGATAGAGTCTTTAGGTTTTTCTCTGTATAAAATCATGTCATCTGCAAACAGGGAAAATTTGACTTTGTCTTTTCCAATTTGGATGCCCTTTATTTCCTTCTCTTGCCTGATTGCTCTGGATAGAAATTCCAATACTGTGCTAACCAAGAGTGGTGAAAGTGGGCATCCTTATCTTGTTCCTATTCTTAAAGGAAAAAGTATTCCCCATTCAGGATGATGTTGGCAGTGGGTTTGTCATATATGGCTTTTATTCTGCAGAAATACTTTCCTTCTGTACCTAATTTGTTGAGAGTCTTTATCTTGAAGGGATGTTGAATTTTGTCGAATGCTTTTTCTGCATCTATTGAGATGATCATATGGTTTTTGTCCTCAATTTTGTTGGTGTGGTGTCTCACATTTGTTGATTTGCATGTGTCTTGTTTCCTTGTGCTCTCTTAGGTGAGTCCCACTTGATCATGGTGTATAATCGTTTTGATGTGGTTTTGGATTCTGTTTACTAGTATTTTTTTGAGAAACTTTTCATCTATGTTCATCAAGAATATTGGCCTGCATAGTTTGTTTGTTTGTTTTTTGTTGTTATTGTTGTATCTTTGTCTGATTTTGGTATCAGGGTGATGCTGGCCTCATAGAATAAGTTTAGGGAAATGGAGTCTGCTTCAATTTTTTTTGAATAGTTTTAAATGAATTGGTATTCTTTAAAAGTTTGGTAGAATTCAGCAGTGAAGCCATTTGGTCCTGGGATTTTCTTTGTTGGGAGATTGCCTATTACTGATTCTATATCATTGCTCATTATTAGCTTATTCAGGTTTTCTATTTCTTCTTGGTTCAGTCTTGGTAGATTGCATGTGCCCAGAAATTCATCCATTTCCTCCAGATTTTCAAATTTGTTGGCTTACAGTTGTTTACAATAGTCTCTAATGATTCGTTGTATTTCTGTGGTATCAGTTTTAAGATCTCCTTTTTATTTCTGATTTTTGTTATTTGGGTCTTCTCTCTTCTTTTCTTAGTCTAGCTAATGGTTTGTCAATTTTGTTTATCTTCTCAAAAACCCAACTTTTTGTTTCATCAAATTTTTGTATTATTTTTCTGGTCTCTGTCTCATTTAGTTCAGCTTTCATCTTTATTATTTCTTTCCATCTACTAATTTTGGGATTGGATGATTGTTGGTTTTGTAGTTCTTTGACGTGTAATGTTAGGTTGTTTATTTGACATCTTTCTATTTTTTTGATGTGCACTTATTGCAATAAACTTTCTCCTTAATACTGCTTTTGCAGTATCCCACAGGTTTTGGTATGATGTGCTTTTATTCCCATGTGTTTCAAGAAATTTCTTGATTTTCTGCTTATTTTCTGCTTATTTCTGATCATGCTTTTTAATTTCCATATATTTGTACATTTTCTGAAGATTTTCTTGTTACTGATTACTACTTTTATTCCATTTTAGTCTGAAAAGATACTTGATATGATTTCAATTTTTTTTAATTTGTTGAGACTTGAGTTGGGACCTAACATGTGGTTTATCCTGGAGAATGTCCCATGTGCTGATGAAAATAATGTATATTCTGCAATAGTTGGATAAAATGTTCTATAAATGTTTCTCAAGTCCAGTTGGTCTAAAGTATACTTTAAAGTCAATGTTTCTCTGCTGATTTTTTTGTCTAGATGATCTGTTCAATGCTGAGAGATGAGTGTTGAAGTCCCCAACTATTATACTAGTGGGATCTACCTCTCCCTTTAGATCTGATAATATTTGCTTTATATATCTGGGTGCTCTGATGTTAGGTGCATATATGTTTACAATTGCTTTATCTTCTTGATGAATTGATTCTTTTATCACTATATAATGACATTTTTTGTCTTTTTTATAGTTTTTGGTTTAAAATCTATTTTACCTGATGTAAGTATAGTTACTACTGCTCATTTTTGGTTTCCATTTGCATGGTATATCTTTTTTCATCCCTTCACTATTAGTCTGTGTGTGTCTTAAACAGGTGAAGTGAGTTTCTTGTGAGCAGCATATAGTTGTGTCTAGTTTTTTAATCCATTCAGTCAGCCTATATATTTTAAGTGGGGAATTCAATCCATTTACGTTCAGAATTGTTATTGAAAGGTATTGCCTTACTCCTGGAATTTTGTTGATTTTTTTATGATTGTTTTATATGTCTTTTGTTCTTTTCTTTCCCTTTTATTGTTTGTCTTTTCTGTTTGTTGGGTTTTTTTAATGATAAGATATAATTTCTTTCTCTTTTTCATTTGTTTGCCTGCTCTACTAGTGTGTTTTATTCTTTCTAGTGTATTCACAATGGTAATTATTTTCTTTGGATTCCAGATATAGGATTCCCTTAAGGATTTCTTGTGGGACTGGTCTTGTGGTGCTGAATTCCCACAGTTTTTGTTTGTCTAGGAAGGACACTATTTCTCCTTCATTTCTGAAAGATAGCTTTGCTAGATATAGTATTCTTGGCTGACAGGTTCTATTCTTTTAGTATTTTGAATATATCTTCCCATTGTCTCCTGGCCTATAAGGTTTCAGCTGAGAAATCTGCTGGTAATCTGATGGAGATTCCCTTGCAGGTGACTTTATGCTTCTCTCTTGCTATTTTCAGAATTCTCTTAGAAGAGAGAATTTTTGATTGTTCCAAACACAAAGAAATGATAAATGTTTGAGGTGATAGACATGACTTGATTGATGCACTTTGTATACATAAATCAAAATATCACACAGCACCCCATAAATATGTACAATTATTATGACAATTAAAATTTTTTTTAAATAGAAGTAACTTTGGTAGATAGCATTGTGATGTTTGTATAGACAGGATGTTTGGGCAGCACTCAACCCAGCTGGGAAAAGTCGGGATGCCAGATAAAGCTGCCTCAAGCAGGTCACACTTGATCTGTAAGGTGAGGGTGGGAGACCACTCCTGGCAGGGCAAACAGCCTGAAAAAGGCCTAACAGCCGTAAAATAAAAGGATTTTGATGTTGCTGGAATTTGCAGTGGACAGCAGGAGGGAGACATAGAAAGATCCCCCACTTACACCTTATCCCATAAATAAAAGGAGTCAGTGAGATGCCAGATTTCCCTTTTGAAGAGAACACTCAGGAGGTTGTGCCAAGGGTCAATTTGACTGCAGAATACAAAGGGCAGAAAGACCAGTTAGGAGGGCACTGCAGCAATCCAGGCAAGGGATGATGGGATTCTGAAAGGTTTTTTCAACAAACTTGTTGAAAATATATCTATTTGCCATGTGACCAAATTTAGAAACCCAACAGGATTAACAAGTGTATGGTTTTTCTTTGGAATACTCTCTTAAACATGAGTCATATCTGTGGTATGGTATAAACACGGGAGGTCACGACACATCTTCCACGCCCTACATCTCTCCTCTCTGGAATGTTCTTCCCTACCTTGTGTTTAATTTCCCACTCATCTCCAGGATCCTGGGGAGTGTCACCTTCTGAAGCACCTTGTCAATTTCATCCAGCTGTCAACTCCTCTGAGCTAGGTAACTGTGGCATGCTATAGCCAAAGCTTACGGACTCAGTGATAGTGGAGTTAAATTTTCAGGAATTTTGCAAGCTGGTTGGAATCTTGTTGGTAGTTTAAAATTGGCCATGGTGGGAGTATAAATTATAGAAACTGGCAAATGCTGCAAATCAGGGCACTTTTTTGCACCCTGGAGAAATTGTTGTTAGACATTTACTAGCACACCACTGCTAGTGCATTTTTAACTCCTTTCTGTCCTATGAAACTAAACCATTGTATAAAATTTCTGTGACTTTCATTTTTTGTGTATTTATTTTTACTGCTCATACATTTATTTCATTGTTTACATTATTTAATTCAATTACTACTTATTATACAACTATTAATTAGAGTTCATCTACTATGGACCTCACCCTATGCTAGATCCTGCAGTTATAATAATGAACAAATACACACATAGCCCTTGTCCTTATTGTTTTCCCAACTTAGATAGGGAAGCAGATATTAATCAAATAACCACACAGATGAGAATAAAATCACAGCTGTGATTGCTGCTACAGAGAAGAGCTACATGGTACCATGAGAGTATACATAAGGGAGACCTCATTTACAGTGAGGAAATGGAGAAATAGGCAGGCAGTCAAGGAAGTCTCCCTAAGGAAGGGGCAGCTGAGCAGAGATCTCAACTATGAAGGGCAAGAGAGCAGAGGAGAAGAGTATTCTAAGCAGATCAATAGTTCTGAGTCTTTACAGGCTGGCTTCAGTAGCTTAGTCTGATTCAGTGGTTCTGCAGTGGGGCCCTAGAATCTGTTTGTACTAAGCGCTCCAAGTGCTTCTGATGTGCATGGTCTCTTGATCACACTTTGAAAACTGAAACAAAGAGCATACAAAGATATCTAGGGTTTATAGATATGCATAATTTATCAAATATCCATTTCTTGAGGACCTACTAGATGTCAGGTACTGCACTAGGAACGCCCACATGTGTTTGTGCCTCTCCTAGCCTTGTCCTTTTGCTACTCCGGGCATTGTTTTCCCCGTCTGTTAAATGAAGGTGTTGGATTGTATGATCTCAACGTAAATGGCTCTGAGGCCCTGAGAATGTGTTTTCACCCTCTCTGTAGATGCACTTGCCAGAAAGGTTACGTGGGCGATGGTTCAACATGTTATGGAAACATCATGGAGCGACTCAGAGAATTAAACACTGAACCCAGAGGAAAATGGCAAGGAAGGCTGACCTTTTTCATCTCACTCCTGGGTATGCAGTTACGGATACAGATTTCCATGTAAAGAGTGACCCTCTTTCAGGCAAGGGCATCTGTAAGACACAATCATTCAGAAATGGATAAGCAAGGCTTTTCTATTGGGATCAGCCCTTCTAGGGAAGGGCCGTGCAAGTAGGAGGGAAAAGGCAGGCAGCTGTTTCCAAGAGGACAAGTAGGAGATTTAGCAATGCAAGAATTCATAGGCAGAGAGCTGAGGACAGGGTCCTGGGGTCACTATAGATTAACAAGTCTGCAGTAACAGTAAGACAGGGACAGCTGCCAATGTGAGGGTGAAGACCATCCCCTTTGCCTTGGACTTATGGGTCATTCAGGTGTGAACAAGAGTTGGCAGGTAATACTGCAAATAGAGAGTGAGTAAGACCCCCCAAGCAATACCCATGTCCCTCAGTGGAAGTGTCACTTGATTTTGGGGATAGTCTTGGCTGTGTGCAACCATCTCAGCACTCTTGGCCACCCAGCCACTAATTGCCTATAGTTACACATCCTCCCCCAGCCCCCCAGGCAGGTGTGATGGCCTAAAATACTCTCAAACACCTCATTTGCAAACACCCTCTGGATCATTACTTCACAACCCCTTGAGAATGAAATATTATCACTGATCGTAGCATTAGACAAGACTTCCTATAAAACCCAAATTTGTCCCATCAACAAAAAATGAAATAGAGTTGACCAGTCAACAGAAGCTTAAAATATCAACATTTATATTAGAATTTACTAACTACCAAAAATTATTTCTCAGAAAGAACACAGATAAAGAAGTAAGTGTCATCCACAGGTCAGTGCTCTGTTCTCCACATAAATCTTAACATCCAGCCTGGATGCATATCCTGCTCCTCACAGCCTTCCTCTAAGAGCTCTTAGCATATTACATGGGAGCAGGAGGGAAGCGGGGGCTGCGTCTTTGCTCACTCAGGTGGGGACAGATCAGAAAGCCAGGCGCAGGGTCAGGGACCCTGAGGTTGCCAGAGAACTTTGTCATGTCTGAATCACTCATCCCAGGGTACCCTTGAAGCCAAGGCTATGGCTGCAGGGAAACTCATAGCATTACATGGAACCTGTTGGAGCCATGGCCTCGTGGTGCCTTACACTCTTAGAGAAGGAAGCTCTCAGTTTACAAAGGGTCTGCACATACCAATCAGAAGAGAGAGGCCCTGTGCCTGATTTACTCCTCATGTCCAGTGACCCATTTGATGTTTACTTTTTTCATGTATTTTGACTCCTAAGACAAAGCTTATGCCTGGCCACTGAGCAACCTGGGACCATTCACTGTGCTGCTACCCACAGACAAGGGACTGAAAGGGTTCAATGTGAGTATTTAAAATAACCCTACACCAAGGAGCTAATGCAAAAAACCTTAATAGGCCATACCTCCTTTTGTTTAAAGTGGGAAATCCCCATTAAAATTAAACCTTCAATGTGAGCAGCTGCTTGAAATAATGTTGTCGTCATCCAGTGGGAATGAAACTTGCAGTGCCTGGCGGAGGTGTCCTATCATGATGATATCAATGAAATAGTTATATTTGATTAAGTGTAAACAATGGGCATATTAATTTATATAAAATTGGGTTACCTTAATCCAAGGTATTTTTTGATAATAATTTTTGCTGCATTGAATCAAAACCCAATAAGTTCCAGGCTCTCTCCCCATAACATACAACCACTATTAATCTGTCTGAGATGAATCCGTCTATTGTTAACCTTCATGAGATGTCCTCCCCTCTCTCCTGTTGGGGAGAACAAGCAAATATTGCATTCTGGGCTCAGCACTTTGCATGTGGTCTCTTGTTTAATATGTAGATTAAGTTTATACAGAGTTAATAAAAATTCTCTGTTGATCGATTGTTGACTATGTGGCAGTAACAAAATACCAATTTGGAGCAGTGGATTTTTTAAATCTTAACTTTCTATTCCAATGCACCATTAGTCCATTCACTCTACCTGCTCCTTTAAGAAACTTCATATTCTATTCCGATCCACTTCCTAGGCTCAAGATAGAGCCCTTGAGGCTTGCCAACCCCTTTGCTCCTCCTGGCGCTGTTACTGTGCTTTCCCCACTGTGTCAGTTTCCGTGCTAAGCAGCCTCATGTGGCTTGAGAGTGTGCTGTGCATCACTCCAACTCTGCAGGTTTTTGCTCGCTTTAAGGCCTGGCTCGGGGTGGTTGCACTCACAGAAAGTCATCTGTATCTGAAAGTGCTCAAACCCAAGTTGGGGTGCACTGGTTTTGATGTCTTTGATGCTAAATGAGGCACAGCACGCATTACAAAACTCATTTTCTCCTTCACACAACAGCTGGCTCTCTTTTTCCAGGTAAAAGAGCTTTTGGTGCATAATGAAGCTGCTCAATACTTTGTGAAACTCCACATCATTGCAGGGCAGATGAATACTGAGCGTATGAACAACACAGACACATTCTATACCTTGACTGGGAAGTCAGGGGAAATCTTCAACGGTGATAAGGTAGAGAGTTTCTTTGATTTTCACTTCGAGAACTGCATTGTTCACCAAGCCAATGCCAGTGCTTGGAGTTTGGGAAAGGTTATGAAAAACCTCTTTCCTTATTCTTTGTTTATCAAACACCTTTGTATATAGGAAGGATAGAGCAACACCAGGAAGGGTCAGGCAGGAGGGGGTGGACTGTTATGTAAAGAGGGTTACAAAGTGTTTGGTTTGGGTCTAGTTTGATTTAGTTTTCAAGGCAACCATCAATTCGACTGCCAGCAGGAAGCAGAAACTTTGCTGTAAATCTGTTTCCTGGAAGCATCAGTACAAAGCCAGAAAAGTATTCCTCTTACAAAAGGAAATGGATTGCGTTTGTCTTAGATTGCTGGAGTTGATCCATATTTCCTAACTTAACATTTCTTCTCTCCTAATGCCATTAGCTCTGTTTGTTTTTTAAATAAAACTACCCTCCCCTCCCCCTTTCACAAATAACTTTTTGTGACTTTACTGAGCTTGGGGGAAAGTGATTAATTGACAGAATGTGCATGTGTGGGTTATGGCCTATACTGTTGCATTCGCCAAATATCAATAGTTAACAGATCATTCATTGCTTGTCCTATGCAAAGTACTAAGATAAATTTTTATGTGTTTTATATAAGATTCACAACAACCCTGTGAAGGAGGTACTGTCATAATCCCTGTTGTTCCAGTGAGAAAGTGGAGAGGCCACATAGTAAATGTCAGAGGCAGTATTCAAATGTGGGTCTGCCTGATACCAAAGCCCTCATCCTCAATCAGTCTGCTGTACAATGTGTGTAAGGATGGGTAGGTGGGTGGATGGATGAATGGATGGATGGATGGATGGATGGATGGATGGATGGATGGATGGACAGACGGATGGATGGACACATGAAGAGATGGATGAATGAATGGAGGGATGGAAGGATGTATGAATGGGTGAATAAGTGGATGGATGAATGGATAGAGAGAGAGATGGATGGACAAATGAATAGATGGAAGGATGAATGGAGAAAGATGGACATATGAATGGGTGAATAAATGGATGGATGGATAGAGAGATGGATGGATGAATGGGTGGAGAGATGGATGGATGGATGAAGAATGAACAAATGAATGGAGATACAGATGAATGTACGAATGGGTAGATAAATGGATGGATGGAGAGATGGATGGATGGGTGGATCGATGGATGGATGAATATATGAATGGATGGAGAGATGGATGGATGAATGGATGACAGATATGAAGATGTGGTTTCCTTTCTTACAGGGAAATGCATGTATTCACTCATTCATTCATTTAACAAATATTTACTAAATCTGTAATATTGGAGTCACATGAGAAGAAGAAGGAATTAGTTTTAGTTATTCATTCAAACTTTTTTAAATGTTTTTTATTGTGTGCCTTCTCTGTGTAAGACACTAAAGTTAGGTGATGAATTTACAGTAAATTGAATAGGTTTGCCCTATCGAGCTTGCAATCTACTGGAGCTTTGTAATGCCTTACCCACATTTAGCATGGGATTGTCGTCAGTGATTTCACACATAGTCTTATATGGTCTTAATGACAACCCTGTGAGGTCAACCAAGCAGACACCTTTATTCCCTTTTTAGGTTTTAAGTAACATCCCAAATCGCATATCCAATAAGAAGCAGGGCCCAATGACTCAGGACTTCTGACTTCTAGTCCATTGCTTGCTCCTTCGAGGACACCACATTAATTCTATTTTATCTTTCTTTGGTGTTTTAGGGCAATCAACTAAAGCTTAAACTTTATGGGGGCAAAAAGAAAGTGAAGATTATGCAGGGGAACATAATTGCTTCCAACGGGCTCCTGCACATCCTCGACAGAGCCATGGACAACATAGCGCCCACATTTGAGAGCACCACCGAGGTGAGATATTTCAGGTAAAAGTGGTGTCAATCCAAATCCATCTTCCTCTGTTCCCTGAAGAGTCACAACCAAGAAGAAAGTGTACACCAGCACTACGTGCTTGTCCTTCATTTGTATTAGGATCTCCGGCATAGAGAAGATGGGATGATTTGACTGTTTCCAATAGAATTTGGGGTATCTCTGCAGAGAGAAAGAAAGGCAGGCAGTATACGAGCAGGAAAGATCTGGATATTTTACCTCTTTTATGGCACATCAAACAGCTCAGTCAATGACCAGTTGTCGTGAAAATGTATCCCTCGTGCTTTACGGAGGACAGTCAAAGCTGCAATAAAATTTTTTCCCTCTGACCTATATGATGATGGCCAAAGGCTACCTCAGAACATGCAGGTCTGAATAATAACAGCAAACATTTGTATAATTCATCTCAGTTGACCAGCTCCTTTTATATACACACTTACATATAAACTCTGTCATCTGTCTTCTAATATTAGGGTTTGTATTTCCAAAATTACCTTATTTTTTTTTCACTGATTTTTAAGCAAAATGTCTCTTTTTAGCAAACCATAATGACAATGCTACAACCAAGATACAGCAAGTTCAGATCTTTGATAGAGGTACGTACTCTTTATGAATTTCTGGAAAATGTTTAGGTCAAGTCCTTTGTAAAATTAACAGGGTATCAATTATAAATACTTTCTGGGGAATTACTTAAAATATTTGTCTGAGGAAGGTCGCAAATATAAAATCTCATTTCTCAAATGCAGGAAACCAATGTGGGACGTGCCTTAGATGAGGATGGGGTTGGTGGGCCATACACCATTTTTGTCCCAAGTAATGAAGCATTGGACAACATGAAGGATGGCATTCTCGATTACCTCCTTTCTCCAGAGGTACTGTATCCTACTTAATGCTGATGGTATCAGGTCAGCATCACTGCTTCAGTCTGTGTCCATATAGGCTTTTTCTAAACTGGGATAGTAAATAAGTAGCACATGTAACCCCACCTACCCTCCCACAACCAAGGCAGACATCATTAATTAATAACAGTATTCTGGAACAAACCCTGAATGTGGCTTCAATCTTCTCAATAGAGTTCCCAGTTGCTAAGATCAATCAATTAGATTCAGCACAGGAAATAAAATCTCTTTGCGACCATAGGTCTAAATGTTTGGTTTCATTTGTTCTGGCTCTTCTAATATTTCTCAGTAGTAAAATTAATATATTGTGCCTCCTACAATCCTAAAACCACCTAGAGAATGAAGCCCAAACTAGGCCATCCAGGGCCAGGCCTAGGCTAAATTTTTAAAGGAATAAATGTTCTTTTTAGATGGTCCAGCCTTTCCTTTCTATTGCCTTTATCTCTCTCAACAATAACACTCTCCTATACGCCATGGGCCTTCCACCTCTCACATTTCCCTCTAGAAAGGAGATTATTGACTCCTTCACACTAGAGTGCAAATGACTGAAACCATTTAAAGTGTTTTCTCTGTCAGCAATAACAGCCTTAACTTGAGGAGGACAGCTAATAATGGAATTTTGTTCATTACAACATCAAATGGTAGAATTATACGAAGGACCATAAACTTTCTTCCAGGATGCTGAAACCATGTCACCATCTTGGCAATGGGACAAGACTACCTATGACCTCATATGGATCAGTGTGGGTTATACAGAGTAGGGGGGGTTGGGGGGGAGTAGTGATTCTGAAACTTTACTGTGCTTAGGAAGCACACCACAGAGCTTGTTAAATAGACAGATTCCAGAGCCTCACCCCAAAGATTCTGATGTAGTAGTACTGGAATGAGGCCCAGAAATGCTGGTAGGCACTGACTTTATAACTCAAGTTTTGGGACCCTGAAATGTGTTGCTTATTTTGTTTAGGGGTTCACATAGATACATCCCTTTCTAGAATACTTGCAGGTTTCTATAAAGTTATCTTACTTTTAGAAAACTCTGAATTAAAAAAAAAATCAAGGAGATAAATCAGAAGGTAATTTCTTATACTGTAAACTCTGTATGTTCAAAATATGAAAGGATTTGCTGTGGGCTTCCATTTAAAAAGCCCAGGCTCCCTGGGTCTTCAAAATAGAAAGTTATTTTTAAAATATGATTCACACTCAAGTTTTCTGAAATCTAGCAATTGCTAAAAAACTGTTTTACAGTACCTCTCTTCAGAACTCACACTTAATGAGAGGGGTCTTCAAACAGTTCATGGAAAGATTTGTACTATCTTTTGATTCTATTTTTTCATGAACTTTTGGAAGTATCCTCATATTTAAAGTGAGCTAAAAAAAAAAAAAGAGCAATGTGCTCCCCTGGGAAATTATTAGAATCCTGAGATTATATGACCTCCCAGAGTGTATAGCTTCTAATTTGATACAGATATATCTAAAGTAGAAATAATAGGGGAGTCCTCAGGCACCTAATCCGGAACACTTAAAATCTTTTAACAAGAATAGAAAAAAAAGATAAAATCCACCTCCTTGCATTTCTGTCAAACACCTTTATTCAGAAAGCTTTTCTCTTTCCCCTCCCTTGTAACTCCTTCCAGGGGTGGCTGGAGGTGGCTCGTTCAGACTCTCAGGAGTAGATTGTGTATACTTTTTCCCAGCTCCATGCAGTGAGATCACATTGGGAGTTTGGAATCAGACGTTGGTGGGAATATTTACACCATAGAAAGCGGCCAACACTATAAATCAGGGCTTCTACTCACCCCTGTGAAAATGATTTACGAGCCTACCACTGCTCCTGGCCCTCAATCTTGTTTTCCTCAAAGGAAGTATCTTTCTGCCTGCAAAGAAAATAAAACTTCAGATGTCTTTGTTCCAAGACAAAAATTGCTTTTCCACTTAAATTTCTAGGTAAGGAGAAAAATGATCCATTTCTGCCTCTTTCTCAAGTCCAGAGCCCACACGGGTTAAAATTTCTCAGCCTATGAGAAGCTCCTCCTTTCTCCATCCCTCTTAATAGCATCCGTTAGCTTTACCTTCAGGGAACAACTTCAGCTGGAGACAGCAAAGTCCCCACAGGCTGTGCCAATGAAATGGAAAATAAACTGGTTTCATTAGAGGAAGGGTTTTTGAATTCCTTTCCAGTATATATTTCTACTTCTCCTGGAAGCAAAATTTCAGTCCAGAAACCATTCCTTCCCCCACAGAGACCACAGCTACTGATTACAAGCCCCAATTTATGGCTTCATCACTGAACTGGAACAGAATAAAAGCAAAGGGAGCCATGGACTTGCTCTTCCTGATTCACAGATGCCTTGCAAGGAAAATGGGACAAAGGGACATGAATTTACAGAGTTCAAGGCCATATTAACAATTTGGTAGAAAAGCTCTCTCCTTCTGCCTCTGGCACCAAGGGATGTGGGGTTTTTTGTTTTGTTTTGTTTTATTACCTAGAACAGCAGGGAGGGAGGAAGTGTCTTCAAGAAGGAAAGAATGCACCACACCAAAAGGCTCTTCAACAGCAGCACCTGGAAGCATCCTGTCTGTCTGAGCCATCCTGGAGAGAATTCAAACTGAACCACGGCATTGACAGCCCCTGGCCTGAGGAGGCGGCGGGCACGCACAGTGGCTGGAATGAGGCTGATCAATTCCTTTGTCCCTTTCATTCTCCTGTTTCTTGTTAAAAGTGTCCAACACCAATTACTTCTTGAGGCTTTAGAAGTGGATTATCCAGTTGATAAGTTCTTTCCTATAGAATCAGGGGGCTGGAAGAGATCCATCAAAGTGCTTTTATTTTGCAGGCAAAACTGACACTCAGGGGTTAAGTGACTCACTCAAGGTCACACACAAGTGGAACGGGATTAGAACTGAGGTTCCTGAGGTCAGTGCTTTTGCCAGGACCTCTCCCCCCTCCTTTTAATTTATCGGCACAAATGTTTATGGAGGCCCTACTGTGTGCCCCATACTGTGCTGGCTAGGGACACAGTGATTAGTAAACCAGACAGACCCAGTCCCTGCCCTCAAGGAGTTTGCGTTCCGGTTTGGTCTGACATTTCCCAGCAGTTCCCACTGAGCCCCACCCCTTCTGCCACTGAGCATCAGAACATGTAGTGACATTGCTCGGGCCTAGCAGTCCCCACTTCCAGCTACCACAGAGTAGCTGCAAAGGGAAGTCGAGTTGCTCAAGGCCACATAGTAACAAAACCAGGGCTGCAGGAAGCACCACTTCCAGGGCAAGCTAACTGGTAGTCAAGTTCAACATTCTTATTGGTAACCCTGCCCCACGCATAATACTACTAACTTATAGATATGGTGCCTATATAATTTATCATCCACACCAGGACCCATTTCAGAGTGAGTGGAGCTGCCAGGACAATAGGCATAAGCCAGGGTTGTCCTAGACAAACCAGGACATGTGCTCCCCTTACATACAGGTAACTCACCTGGTATAGTGACAAAGGCCGAATGCAGAGCGGAGGCTGGGTGAGGGGAACTCAGGTTCAGCAGGGCTTTCTTCTGGCCTGGACCTTCATACTGTTGGAATACATCCGCCCCTAGAACAGTCAGCCTCTTGGCAGTTATCCTAAAAACTAGATTTGTGATCCTTTGCCTTTCCAAGCCAGGGTGACTGTGGCTATGCCACTTATGTAGCAGAATTCCAGGGCTGTGAGGCTTGTGACTCCAGCTCTGACACAGCTGGGAGATTGCAGACATGCTGCAGCAGCCCGCTACTGCGCCGCCTTCTTCCCCCAAAGAGAGCAGTCCCCATGCTCCTGGACGCCAAAGGCCCCCTCCAGGTCACCCCTATGGGGACTGCTCAACCTAATATAGTCCCCTCTGGGTGCCCCAGGGCTCTCTTTTTTTTCCACTGCTGCTTTAGTTTTCTGAAGCATGATAAACCTTGCAAAGGGCTTTGAAGGAGAAGTGACCTTTTTGTGGAAGGGAAAGGCGATCAAGATCTCTGTGACAGTATATTCCTAAATGACCAGTATGTGGCCTAACAGATGTCTATTCATGAAGCAAGTGAAACAGAATCATAAATCGAGGCTGTCTTAGAAAATCCAGAATGTGGCCCTAGACATTCGGGGACGTAATGGAGCAGAGGACTGAGAGCTTGGGCTCGTTCTTAGACTCATGTCCTGAGCTAACTTTGTGGCCTTGGACATATCTTTGAAACTCATAAAATGGGTCAACAGTAATCCCTACCTCACAGGAATACTGGGAGGATTAAATGAGATGTGCATATTATCTTTTCAGAACAGCCTTTGCCACGGAGTAGGAATTTGGTTAACGTTAGCTATTTTGGAAATGGGATTTATCTCACCCTGGATTTCCCAATAAAAAAGACTATGGGTCATTTATTTTTCTTGACTAAATACTCAAAGTCATTTGAAGAAGATCCCATAACAGGGAGAGTGTTGTTTTTTTTCATTGACTAAAGAAATATTTTGATTCCTTTGCAGGGATCTCGGAAGCTTCTGGAACTCGTCAGATACCACATTGTCCCATTTACCCAGGTTGGCCCCACTTTTCCTTTTTGTTTTTCCTCAAATGTATTTATTTATTTTTTTTTTTTCCTTTTTGTCTTTTTTTTTTACTGACCGGTAACGGGATTGCAACCCTCGGTGTTGCGCCCGCACCGCACTCAGCCAGTGAGCGGGAACCGGTCTCCTCATGGGATCCGAGCCCTCGGTGGGAGCGCCGCCGCGCTCCCAAGCGGCGCACTCTCCAGTGCACCACCGGGCCGGCCCAAATGTATTTATTTTTTAATTGACACATATTGATTGTACATATTTATGGGGTACAAAGTTATATGCCAATCCACGTATATAGTGTGTGATGATAAAATCAGGGTAATTATCATATTCATCATCACAAAAGCCCCCACTTTTCCCTGCCCTCAAGGTGTCTGACCTAGTCTTAAATTCCAATGTTTTCGTGCTAGAAAATTTGTGACATTTGTCCTTTATCTATAGCACTGAGCGAACCCTCAGTCATGAATAATGAGTCTGTTATCAAAGGAATTTTCAAAGCCACAAAAACTCCTGACATCAAACTCCCGTTATTTATTTTATAAACTTTTAAGGTTTTCTTTTTTTTTTTCTGGTGAGTACTTTTAAGAAATCAGGGTGCGTTGCTCCAAATGTCTCTCCTGTTCTCTTCTCTTTGCAGCTGGAAGTGGCCACTCTTATTTCGGCCCCTACCATTAGGAGCATGGCCAACCAGATCATACAGTTTAACACAACCAGCAATGTAAGTGAGAAAGCCCCACTGGCATCGTCACTCGCATGCATCTGTGCTCTGATGATGACAATTGACCAGGTTATCCTACCTCTCCAGTAACTCCCAGGCTTAAAATCTTTATGATTATTTCATTCATTTGTTACTTCTTTCAGCAAATATCTACTAAGCAACTACACGTGTGCAAGTCTGCACTGGATACTAGGAACAAAGCAGGGGAAAAGATAGAATTACATCCCAGCAGGGAAAACAGACTTTAAACAACTCATTAGGCAATTGGTTAATTATTTAATTACCGTTGCGGTGAGTGCTGCTGAGAGAAAGTTCAGGGAAGTATGAAAGCACATAACAGAAGGATTCTCAGAAAGTCTGGAGGTCAAGAGGTCCTCAGGGACGAGGTGATGTGTTGGCCAAGCTGTGAAAGATGAATAGAGTGAACTCAGGCAGAGATGAGTGGAAAAGAGTTCCAGGCAGAAGGGAGAGAACATGCAAAGGCCCTGAGGTGGGAGGGAACATGACCTATTTAAGAAACTCAAAGAAGGCAGTGTTATTCAGCTAACTTCCTGGTATTGTAGTACCAGCAAAAGCCTGGCAGCACGGAGAGATTATGTCTCCTGCTCAGTCACTGTTGCGGTGATGATGGTGATCTCATTCTTTCAACAAGTTTCTATTGCATGCCTACGATGTGCCAGGCACTGTCCTAGGATAGGCCAATGAACAGTCAAAAGTCCCTGTTTGCATGGAACTTGCATTCTAGTAAATAGGGAACAGACAATAAACACGTTAAATAAGTAAAATATATTAGAAAGTGCTCAGGAGAGAAACAGCAAAGCAGGGAAGGAGAGCAGAAAACAGGGATGGAGCCGACATTTTAGATAAAGCACCCAGGGAGTCCTCAAGGAGAAGGAAACATCTGAGCAAAGACCTGAAGGAAACGGGAGAATGCACAGTGTGCAAATGTAGGGGAAGAGCATTCAGGAAACAGCAAGTGCGAAGGCACAGAGCAAGGAGTGTGCCCGAGATGTCTGAGGAACAGCAAAGCCAGTGTGGCTGGAACAGAGGGAGCAGAAGGGTGAAGGGCAGGAGAGGAGGCCAGGCAGTAAAAGGGTGGGGGACGGAGGGGGGAGGTCGCACATGGCCTAAGAAGTCAGGGCAAGGACACGGGCGCTTCCTCAGATGAGATGAGAAGCCACTGGAGGATGTGAGCAAAGGAGTGACATGGTCATACAAACACTTGGGAAGACTAGTTAGGAGATTTGGTTGCAGTTAATCCAGAGAATGAAGGTGACTCGGACCAGGGCGGTAGCAGAATGTGGCTAGAAGTGGTTGAATTCTGAGTGTGTTTTGAAGGTAGACACAACACGATTCGCTCGTGGATTGGATGAGGGATGAAGGCAGAGGGAACCAAGGGTGACTCCTGGGTTTTTAACTTGAGCAACCAGAGAGTGAAGTTTCCACTAATACTGCAGGGGGAGCAGGTTTCAAGGGAAAGTGGAGATCAGAAATCTGTGCTAATTTGCTCATTCTCTGCTCCCTCCACTAGAACTTATCTGTTCATTGATGTGTCCTCAGTTTCTAAGGCAGAGCATGATTCAAGGTCAATAAGTGTCTTTGAATGGATGGGTCCCCATCTCACCACACAAAGCTGAAACAATTTGCCCAAGTTCTGGTGGCAAATGCCCAGTAGAGCTGGAACAGTCATACCTCTTCCACAACCCAGCACCTGCAAGCACTTTCTGCAAGAACACCTTTGCCTGGTGTCAGTCAAGAACCATTCAACAGATTCAAACTTTCCCTGTCAGCCAAACCCTGACGTAACAGCAGCCCTTGCTTCAGTGAAAAGTTAAGTGACGTTGAGGGCTTTTTAGCAAGGCTGCCACCACTGAGCTGGGCCTGGGCACCACTGGCTCTCCTGCACTGCAGAATGAAAGATGTCATTGCTCCCTTCCAGGGACAGATTCTGGCAAATGATGTGGCAATGGAAGAAATTGAGGTCGTTGCCAAAAACGGCCGAATTTACACACTGACCGGAGTCCTCATTCCTCCCTCCATTGTGCCAATTCTGCCCCATCGATGTGACGAAACAAAGAGAGAACTGAAACTGGTAAGAAAATTAGGGTGATAAATAAGGGCCCCCAAACAGCCCCTCAGAGCAGACAACGTTCCACACCTCACGATTCTGAGCAAACCGACAGGAGCCTTGTCCCCGTGGGGCTTCTGTCGTCATGAAGAGGCCTGAGGTCCCCTCCCATCCACTGTGAACCACGTCCCTCAGGGAATTTCCACAGTGATAGAAACTGCTCAGGTATGTTCGTTTCCCAGAGCTGCCACAAATTACCTCAAATTACCACAAGCTGGGTGGCTTAACACAACGATAATTTATTCTCTCAAGTTCTGGAGGCTAGAAGTCTGAAATCAAGTTTTCAGCAGAGCCATGCTCTCTCTGAAAGCTCTAGGGCAGAATCCTTCCCAGCCTCTTCCCAGCTTCTGATGGCTCCAACAATCCTTGCGTTCCTTGGCTTGTGGCCACATCCCTCCAGTCTCTGCCTGTGCCTTCACATGGTCCCTTCCCTGGGACATGAATTTGGGAACAGACACTATTCAACCCACTACACCAGAGCGCCAGGATCAGAGTAGGGTTTTCTTCCCCCATAGGATTTAGGATCAGTCTCCCACCTCTTCCTTCCCCTGTCCCTGTCACCTGCTCCAGGCCCACAGCTTTACTCTCTCTAAGAGAGACTTAAAATGGAATGTCTTCTCGAGTAGATGCTCTGGCCTAACCAATCAACCATCTTTCTGTAGTTCTTTTCAAACCCTAGAACTTCTGTTTCCCTGTGAGCTTCTATACCCACTAATGGCCTTTTCTATTTCCATGGAAAATTTTGGGCTCAGCCAGTTTTAATCAAAGCACCCCAAATTCCTATACTACTATACATGCAATATTTCATTTCTCATGGAAACCAAAACCCCAACTTACAGCAACAACAGATCCCTGTCTTTCTTTTCAGGATATTTCAATACTATGTCAATGGTTATTTGCATGATAACCTTGGAACATGGTCACTGAGCAAGAATAAATGGTCTCATTTTTTTAATTTTGTCTTATTGATCCCTCTTCTTGTCATGAAGACTGGAAATAGCTACTTAGGCACCTGGCATGGGATTGTGGCTGATTCTTTTAATTCTAGATTTCTCAATAGATACAATAACTGTGATAAGTTTTAGGTTATCTGGTATGGTACTAGTCCTCTGTGCCAGTCAAATACCATCTGGGGGATTTGACTCCATTCTGAGCACCCCTTTTTAAAAGCAGCAGAAACATGGTAACTTTCCAAGCTCGTTCCCAGCATGTTTGATGTATTCTTTGGAAACAAGTAGTGGCAGTTTCATCACCTGGTTTAGACCAGGGTGAGGATCAGAACAGGCCAGAGAGAGTAGTCTCTTACCCCAAAGATTAAAATATTAGGAAAATAGGGCCTTTGCAGAAAAGAGTCAGAAATTAAATGTGTTCTTCAGAGCTCCCCAGCCCCAAGCAACTGCCATTCAAGTTCAGAGAAGGAAGTCTATGGAGGGACAAGGGCATCCCTAATGCCTGCCTTCCACAGGGTTGTTCTGTTTCAGATTGTTCAGAAGTTTATTCTCCATCTCCCTGAAGGACAGAACCAAGGTGTGGGTCTGAGCTGCAACACAAAGAATCTGGGTTGGGTCAGGAAAAGAACTTCCCAATATCCACCTCAGAATGATGTCTTCCTTTACTATTTTCTCAGTTTAGAGTCACACCTATCTGCTCTGTATGGTTTAGGATGGTTTTAATTGGGTCCAAATGCATTTTCTGCAAAGTTTTTAGGACTAGCAAGGAGTAGCAGCAGCCGGTATCTTCTAGAAGTCTCAGTTTTCACCAGGCTGACCCCATAGCTGCCATTGGGCATGTATATTTGGATCTTAGAGGCTTAATACATAACCCTCTGTACTAGTTAGGGTCCTTGCAGGAAACAGAATTTATCCAAGATGTTCAAATGAAGAGACTTAGATGAAGAAGCTACTGCAGAGGAGTGGGCATGGCGAAGGAAACAAACAGGCTATGCAGGGCACTGGGAGATGCGATGGCAGGAGACCATCACCACCCAGGACCAAAGAGCAGGGGAGCAGGGTATGGAGTCACCTGAACCAGTGAGAGCGGGAAGAGGGAGCTGGAGGGGTGATGCCAGAGCAGAGAGGGAGCAGGGAAGAAATTCCAGACCTTGCTCTCCTCCTACCCACAAATATCCTGCTGGTGCCTCATGTTGGCCAAAACCAATCAGAAGCTGGCAAGGGAGCCTGAGAGACCATCCTTCACCATCTACCTGCTGGGGCACAGAGCCAGGTAGGGAAGGTCAGAGAATGGATCTGGAGAGGTTTAGAGGCACACATCTCATTCCTTCCCTCCTGAATTCAGAACTGATGGAGGAAGAATCCAGGAGACTGAAAGGCAGAGATTCAACGTTCAGCCTTATTACTGCTAAGCTAAATGGAGAACATGGCCTTATGTCTGTGGCCAATGCCAGTACTTCATCCCTGGCACAGGTGGACAACTGGCGTGTCCCCTCTGAGGCAGGTGCCTCCCTCCATGCAGAGAGTTGATCAGAAGCCTGAGGCCTGTGAACAGGCTGGTTCTGCAAGAGGGAGGGGAAGGGGCTGCTTCTCAGCTCCTTCTCCCACCCCCACCTCCAGTACTGGCTACATCCCTTCTCCCTGGGGCAGAGTCAATGGGTCTGGGGGTAGGAGAGAGGCCAGGAGCGTGACTCTAGTGGAGCTCCCTTCACAAAGAAGCAAGCATGAGGCAAGGGACAGAGCTGTCCCCCTGCTCCCTCTCACAGGGACACCTGTACTGACCTACTGGCTCTTTCCTTCCAGGGCACCTGCGTGAGCTGTTCCCTAGTGCATTGGAGCAAATGCCCTGCCGACTCTGAGCCCACAGTGAGTGTGACAGCTTCGTGAGACCGCACATCACTCAAGCAATCCCACTTGTGTAGTTTCTCATCCTGTCTACCTCCCTTCTTTAAAAAATAGCAAGTACAAGGGCCAGCCCGGTGGTGCACTGGAGAGTGCGCCGCTTGGGAGTGTGGTGGCGCTCCCGCCGAGGGTTCGGATCCCATGTGGAGACTGGTTCCCACTCACTGGCTGAGCGCGGTGCGGGCGCAACGCCGAGGGTTGCGATCCCGTTGCCGGTCCCCAGTGCGGGCGCGACACCGAGGGTTGCGATCCCGTTACCGGTCAGTAAAAAAGACAAAAAGGAAAAAAAAAATAGCAAGTACAACTGGGGTCATACAAGACCGGCTCTTAGCCTGCTGTTTGGGGGGATGGTAAGAAAAGAACCCACAGACCTGTGTTTGAATCGTTCGCTGACCCTAGACAAGTTGTTTGACCTTGCTATTCTAATTTTCTTCATCTGTAAGTAATAACAACGAGGACAACAGGATTAGCACAGATAAAAACCCAAGCACAGGCCAGCCCCATGGCTCACTCGGGAGAGTGCGGCGCTGGTAGCACCAAGGCCGCAGGTTCGGAGCCTATATGGGGTTGGCCGGTGCACTCACTGGCTGAGCGTGGTGCGGGCAACACCAGGCCAAGGGTTACGATCCCCTTACCAGTCACAAAAAAAAGGGGGGGGGACGGGCCCAAAGAGGGTGACCAAGCTCTGGTGTGGTCTAGTGCCCTGTCCTGACATCAGTGGTGAAACAGAAGTAGAAAGGCTGGTGTACAGAGAAGCTGTGTAACGCCCAGAGGACCTTGAAATGAAGACTGCGATGCTTTCTTCCAGGCACTCTTCACACACAAATGTGTCTACACTGGCAGAATAAGGAGCCTGAAGAGCGGCTGTGCCCGATACTGCAATGCCACTGTGCAGGTGAGGAGCGTGTGGCCGAGGCTCTTGTCCAGACCACCAAGAGCGAGGCAGCCCCAGGCCACACTCTTGGGCCACAGGGTCTGTGTGGTCATGGGTGACCCATGGGGCCTTGGCAATGCCTTTCTGCAGGGAAATCAAAGGGTGGATTCTCTACACAGCAGCCAAGCCACCCCCTTCCTGTATCATACCCTCCCTTGGTTCTCTATCCCCCTCAACACAAAGTCCACGTCCCCACCTGCCCCATGCTGCCCGCCCTCTCCCGGGTCTCTGGCCTGTCTCCACCTTTCCTCCTACCTCAGAAGATGCGCGCCTGACTCCCCTCCCTCCCAGTGCTCCTCCGGGTTTTCTTGGAGCTGACTCATAGTTCAAGTCTGCATGTAACCATCACCTCTTCTATCACCACTCAATCCGTGGTGGCCTCTCCAGGCTTCCCCCACCTCTGGCCCTACCTGCCACCACTTTATAAAAGTACTTTATTTTTCCAGCACTTACCATTCTCTGAAATGATCTTCTTTTATTTTGTTTTTAATTTACATATTGACTCTTCGCTGCTGGAATATAGGCTCCACGAGCGCGAGCTTTCACCTGTTTTGTTGACACAGTGTCAGAGCCAGGGTGGCACTCATGGTGGGGGCTCAGTAAGTTTGTGGTGACCAGATGGCAGAGCACTAGCTGTGCCATCATCTACAAAAGGAAGCTCATAAGGAGGGGCTCATACTGTTTATTATAATAATGAACATTAAAATCTACCTCCTTTGTGGAACTGGCACTATGCTTAGGGTTTCAAAGGGCAACATGCATTTTGTTTCTCAGATACCCAAGTGCTGCAAAGGCTTCTATGGACCTGACTGCAACCAGTGTCCAGGAGGCTTCTCAAATCCATGCTTAGGAAATGGACAGGTGAGAAGGACAATCCCTGATGCACATTTGTTCATGATGCTGAAGATTGACACTGCTGAAGTCAAGTCATGCGATAATTTTTAAAACTGTTAAACCAAAAAATGACACAACGCTGGCCATTATTCCCAGGAAGCAGAAGAAATAAATCAGTTACTAAAAGAACAGACAGTGTGTGCAGTAGAAAGGATGTTGGTCCAGGGGGTGGGGGAAAGGGAGGGTCCCATGATGTTGCTTCCAGTCTCTGCTTTCCTGTTTTTGACCGCGGGACCTTGGGCAACCCAACAAGGCTCTCTGGACCTCACATTCCTCCTGCAGGAGATATCAGGGTTGACCTGCATTGATCTCCAAGATTCCTACCAGGACTAAGATTTTATAATACTTAAAAATGTATATATAGAGAGCATTGCCCAGTGATTGCTTTTTTTTTTTTTTTTAACCCATCTGCAAAACCCAGTGAAATGTTAACTCATCTAGCTTGGGGGCCAAAATTAAACAAAGCTAAAGGTAGCTGTGATTCTTATAGGGAAATTATAGACCTGCACATTTAATAAATCCACATCTAAAATATGGCTCTTTCAAGGGAATAGAAAAACTGTGCAACCATGAGTGGGAACACCACGCAGGCGAGGAGAATAGGGAGAGGCCTGTAGTGATGACCGTGGCCCCATGGTCGGGAAGGCAGCTGCGCCCAACTCTGGTGCAAATCACTCAGTGCAAACCCGGCCTTGCTGGGGAGGCGGGAGGCGAATATGTTTACCACGGAAGAGAGGACTCACTGCAGCTTGGAGGCACAGAGCTGAGCAAGTGAGACTGCAGAGAGAGAGGGGGGCCAGACAGTCATCTGAAGGTGCCTGTCTTACTGCTGTGATCCCTTTAAGTGTTGTTTGAAGGTTCCTGATGCACCATTGAGATCCCCCTTGAGTGATTCCCCTTAAAGTTCTAAATCCTGGCTCGGGATCCCCAAGCTCATCACTGTTTTAGCATCCTACCTGATAACAAGACGACTGCCCTTTCCACAAAGAGTCCCAAAGAGTCATTTCAAGTGGGACTGATCTCAATTCAAAGAAGTCAGGCCACAAAGTGAAAACATCTGGGACTCTTTCACCAGCATGTGTCCTAATGGCCCCCGGGCCTGCCTTTGCTCCCAGTGTGCAGATGGCCTCGGTGGCAATGGGACATGCATTTGCAAGGATGGCTTCCAAGGCTCCCGGTGTCAGTTCTGCTCTGATCCCAATACATATGGACCTCGGTGTGACAAAAGTAAGTGGTGCTTCCAGAGTGTCCTTCTACCAGCTCCACCTTGCGCTGCCGCAAGCTGATGGTGCAGGCCTGGTGTCTGGTGACACCTCTGCTTGAGGTATGCCATCATCACAGGCATTTCTTACACTCTGGTTCTCAAACTGTAGCACATGCTGATGGCTGGGCACTGCCATGCACTTTATGATTCAGTAGGCCTGGGGGGGGGGGCCTGAGAATTTGCATTTCTAACAAGCTCCCAGGGAATGTCGACACTGAAGTAATTATGGGTCCTATATCAAAAAACAGATTTGCTCCCTACCTTTCCAGAAGTCCTCTTCCATCAGCTCCTCCTTTTGCAAGATGTGTGACCATGGGCAAGTTAGGACACCTCTCTAGGCTTCAGTTCCTTCATCTGTAAAATGGGGATGACAATAATAGTGACTACCTTGTAAGGCTAGTACAAATTGCAAATGGAAAGCACTTGCCTAAGAACAATGCCTAGCATGTAGTCTGTGCTACAAATACGCCAGCTATTATTATTATCTATTATTGCTGTTGCTGCTGGTGCTTTTACTCTAACTGCAGTGACATAAATATGAAGAAACATGTAAAAGATGTAGAAAGTTCTACAATAGGCACTGGAAAAATGTAGTGATGCAATCTTAGAAAATACATTATGTTCTTTAAAATGACATTGTGTGTATATTTAAATACAGGTATGTCTACCCCTAGAAATATATTCCTAAATTAAGATTAGAACTAAACAATTGAGTGCAGTGAATAGATAAGAGCTTTCTGTGGAGTCAGACCAACCTGAAGTTAAGTCCCCACTCTGCCTGCAACTTACTGGCTGTATGACCTTACAGAAAGTCTCTCAATTTCCGCATCTATAAAACAAAGACGGTATTGGTACCTACTTCATAGATTGTTCACAGGATTAAGTTAGACCATAATTTGGAGCTTTCAGTTCAGAGCTTGCACCTAGCAAGGAATCAATAAACAAAGCCCTTCTTATTACCATCACAATTAACTCCACACGTTTGTTACAAAACACACAACCCTTCCCCTCTCTTACCTTGCTTGGTCTTCATAAATACCTCTCAAGATAGCCGGGAAAGCAGAGTACAGCAGATTCGAGGCTGCTGAATCCTATTCTATTGTCCTTTTTGCCCAATAAGATTTCTGGGAAAAAAAAAAGGGGGGGGGGGTATTCCAAAGCCTGATGATGAAGGCATTTCTCTGAAGCCAGCTGGAAGTAGGGGAGGTGGGCTTCCTGCTCTAACCCTCGCATCCTAGGTCTGTGGCTGCTCACGATCTCACACAGGGGTCTTACAAATTAAGCCCTGACTTACTTAAAAAAATTTTTTTTATTTGAGATCATTTTTATTAAGTATTTCCAAATTGTACAGTTCTGTTTATCCCAAAACATTGTTTTTCTTTTTTTTTTTTTATTGTGTCAATATACAATGTAGTTAGTTATTGTGTCCCATCACCAAAACCTCCCTCCCTCCTCCCTCTCCCCCCTCCCACCCAGATGTGTCCCCTCCATTTTCTTGTTGTAAGAGCTTTAGCTCCCTCCAATAAG